TGAAAGATGCATCATAACATTCTAGATCAGGCTGCCCCTCTACACTGAGCAGCAAGGAAATGGTTGAGGGATGCGAACATATGGCAGAAGGTCTTATTGTCACACAAGACAAAATTGGAACTTTGTGCCTAAATGCATCTGATGCAAACCCATGACGGTACATCATTCTGTTAACACCTACTGTCAAGCATGGTGATGGCAGCAGTGTTTTAGCTCCTCTTCTCAACAGCAGGGACTACAGACAAGATTTCAAAACCAATTATAATAGATGGGCCAGCAGTACTGGCATATCATAGAGGAAATCCTGCTTCAGACTTAAAACTCAGGCAGAAAGTCACCTTTCAGTAGGACAGGATTCCAAAGCGCATTGCCAAAGCTACACTAGAATTGTACACTACACTGTCCAATGAGAAAGTGGCCCAGTCGGAGACCTGACGATTATGTACTTTTCAACTCATTGCCCTTATATGAAATTGCTAAGTGTTTGTGAATATTTGATTCCAAAATTGGTAATAAGTAAATTGTCTTAATCTTTTTTTGTTTCGGATTTCTCCCATTTCCACACTCATCTCAAATTTGCCTGTTTCCCTCCATAGTAACATTCGTTGTTTTAAGATCGACCAGCCCCCCACCTCTTTCTCAGCAAGTGAAGCTCCGGGAGCCCCAGCAGTTTGGAGTCATGGCTATACAGAGGCTTCTGGCATCAAGAACAAGTGAGTGTTTTTTTGGTTAACATATTGCCACTTGTTCTTTGAGGCTCAGGCATCATTTCGTCGTAAGGACCCACTTTTCTCGTGTGAAAGTTGTTTCAGGACTTGTGATGACTGCAGAAGTGTTTGACACTAAAAGTTATATTTGTTGAAGAAGGCCCAGTCAGCACCAATAAAAGAGATATTTTCCTTTTGTGGCAGTGTTGCTAGGAGACGGAGGTAGCTGACACATAACATCTATATAAGTATTCAGTCCTTCCAAAAGAAGCAGTGTTTAAATGCACCTCGACTCCCTGAAAAGCCTCTTTCTCTCTCACTGGTACAAGCTCACCAAAGAGAAACCGGATGCAGCAGAAGAAAGAGAAACACTTGAGAGATTAATATTTGTTGCTTAACAAAGCAAAATTAAAGCACAGGTTGTCAGGGTTACTTGTCCAAGTGCTTATAGAGACATACTAGAATTCAAGAAAACTACAACTTTCGTGTTGTACATTAAAATGTACACACACTTCAGAATACTTTAGATTTGTTTTTTTATGTCTTAGTAAAACTATCTAAGAGTATTTCTAAATTAAACTATATTATGGACCTGCTGAAGTGGTTAAACCCATTAATCAACAAAAAAAGGTCAAACATTTTTAGATACAGTAAAGCTCCTGGATTTCAGGTTTATCCTAATACATTTTCTGGAGTCGAACTGAATTTCTGTCAGCTTGGTTTCATATCTTTGTGATTTGTTGAAAAACAATATTTAGTTTTGTAGTTATCCAGTCCTTCTAAATTAGGTTTTTATCGATTGAAAGAGGGGAGATGAAGGGTTATCCACTATAGAAAGTCCCTAGCTTTTTCAGAAAAGGGGTTGCTATAGTTAAATAAAACACGTTAAGCAATGAAAAATATCTTTGGGTGTATTTTGCAGATTAAAGCTGATTTTGTTAATCATTTGAACATTAAATTTTCAAGTTACATTTTCCCCGTTTCTTATTGCCCCACTTTTAGAAAATCATGGCAAAAAATAACAGCCGTGTAAATGTTACAGAAGCGGGGAAAAAAGCCAGTTTAGAGTTTAACTAAATTAAAAAGACGTGTTCTGTTATGAAACTGATTTAGAATATATTAGAATTAAATGTATTAACCAGAAAACCATAGTTTTAGTGCCCTAACGTTGGTTCAGGAAAAGCTTTCCAACATCTGTTAATCTGCAATACTGCAATCATTCTATCCTTTGGAAAGAAACCAAAAAAAATAACAAGTCATCATTCCTGTGGTGGGGAGGATTCCAGAGTGAGAGTGTTGGGTGCTGCTGTCTTTCCAGGCTGTGTGTGGCGGCTCTGTCAGTCAATAACTTCTGTGAGAACCGGGAGGCCCTTTATGGGGTGTTCGATGGGGACCGCAATGTGGAGGTGCCTTACCTCCTGCAGTGCACCATGAGCGACGTGCTGGCCGAGGAGCTGCACAAGAGCAAGAGCGAGGAAGAGTACATGACCAGCACCTTCCTCGTCACACAAAGGTACCTTTCTAGGGCTGGAGCTCAGCCACTGTTCACCCCGACACTGATTTAACTCCGTGAACAACCTCACCCAGATAGAAAGCTATGTATATGTGACATGAATCCACCCATCATACTTGAATTGCCATTTATTTGTCCGCATGTAAACAATATTGAAGAGGTGTTTCAGTCAGGGGTAAGAAGACAGTTCTTCTGTTGTTGTTCTTGCATTTTTACTTAAGCATTGTACTAAAATCTCATACTGTATGTTCTATATCACATGCAAAGAAAAATTTTAAAATGGTAACTTTCAATTTTATACATTTTGTAATGCTACAATTATTATTAATAATAAAAAATATTACTATTTCCCTTTTAAAGATAATCATAAACACTAATGTTTACTAACATTATTTTTCCAAATGCACAAAGTTACTAGAACCACTTTGGAAACTGTAGAGTAGGCTTTACCTATTAGTGCTAGTTGCTTGAATTTATCAGAAATAATTGACAGTTACAAACCAGGTAGACCATACCCAACAGTGCAGATCAAACTGGGTTCACCAGAGAGTTATAACTATAGAACTGCTCTTTTTATGAGCTGCTGTTCTCTTGACCTGACATAAACACTGTTCATCAGTCTTACCTGAGCTGTCCTTCTTGTTGGTCAATGAAGTGTATGTTAGTAAGCACATTTGCAAACCTTTTTCCCTGCAGGAAGCTGGGAACGGCAGGGCAGAAACTTGGCGGCTCAGCTGTCCTGTGCCACATCAAACATGATCCCACAGACCCTGGGGGCTGCTTCACCCTGACTGCGGCCAATGTGGGGAAGTGCCAAGCTATTCTGTGTCGAGATGGCAAGCCCTTGCCCCTGTCTGCTCTGCACACTGTCAGCTGTGAGGACGAGCTCAAGAGGATCAAGCAGCACAAAGCCATAGTCACTGAGGTAAAGTGGTAGAGAATACTAAGAATAAGTATTTGGCACTCGTCTAGACTAGTGTATTATTCGCATCTACGTTTGCAGTCGTCATTTAATTCAGTAAGCCTCTTACTGCTGCCAGATTATTATTAAGTTTTGTTAAGTTCTTCATTCTTGTAAGTAAAATCATTCTCTAGTTGCTACATGGCCTTTACCTTTGTGCTGGCATTTTTTGCATTTACTGCATTTTTTTTTAACAGCCTTCTTTCGAGGGACTGGCATGAATTTGCTGAGCTGCTAAATGGAGAGTCTTGCACAGGGTCCATTATGTCACAGGTGTTCAGATGAATAAATGAAGATGCGATTTATGGACTATTACTTTCTTAGTAGAGTGTGTTCCCAATCACAATGGCAGTTCACCGTTGCATGTTTTTGCCTCTCAAATATGTAAACTGAGTGATACTGGTAAAGCGAATACCGAGACTAAAAGTGAAGGAAGTGAAAGAGAATTCAGTGATAAAGCTGAAACATTTTATTTTGTTTTGGTAATAGTTTGAGTAGAATTATATTGGTGAAGTTCATAACTTAATAATCACAAATTAGAATTGTTGGGAAAAGAACAAAGGTCAAATAAAGCTCCATTATAACAGTAATCTAGTCTTAGATATCGATTTATCTGTTGCTGTTGCTTTAAAGTATGTAATTAATAATATAGTCATAGATAGTTGATTGTGAGAAAACTTCTTTGCACTGCTTTGGATTTTACGTATAATTTGTGAGAAAAAAACATGACTTCTAAGCTTTGAGAGAGAAAAAACATTTAGTTTGTAGAAAGAGCTAAATATTGCTTGTTTTTTTCTTTGTTTCTCACCACAGGACAACAAAGTGAATGGAGTGACAGACTCCACCAGGATTATGGGCTACTCCTTTCTTTACCCTTCGGTTATCCCACGTCCTCATGTCCAGACAGTTACACTCACACCCCAGGATGAGTTCTTCATCCTGGGCAGCCGGGGCCTGTGGGACAGTGTGTCACCTGCAGAGGCCGTGGAGGCAGTGCGTAATGTGCCAGATGCCCTAGCAGCTGCCAAGAAACTGTGTACACTGGCACAGGGCTACGGCTGCAATGACAGCATCAGTGCGGTGGTAGTGCAACTCAATGTCACCGAGGACTGCTGCTGCTGCTGTGAACTCAACGGCTTACCACCCCCTAGCCCTGGCATCTTCCCCCCCTCCGTCAGTGTGGTCATTAAGGACCGGCCCGCAGCACCCGACAACCTGGGTATGCCCTCTTCCAGCAGCGAGATCAGCAGCGAGATCTCTACCTCCGAGATGAGCAGCGAGGTGGGATCCACCGCCTCCGACGAGCCCCCACAGAGTGCCATCCTCAACGACCACCATGGCGGCACGGCCTGCGCCTCTGAGCAGCGCTGTTGCACTCTGCATCCTGTCTGCCTGTCCAGCTCCTTCCAGCGCCAGCTCTCCAGCGCCACCTTCTCCAGTGCTTTCTCCGACAATGGTCTTGACAGCGAAGATGAGGAGCCCATCGCTGGCGTCTTCTCCAACGGCAGTAGAGTGGAGGTGGAGGTGGACATCCACTGTCTGCGTGCCAGGGAAAAGGCCCTGTCTTCATCGTCTTCTTCCTGCCCCTCTCAAGCCCCACCAGTGCCAGCAGCCCTTGAGGCTTGTGATGAGGGCATTGTCATCAGTGCCAACGAGGAGGAGCTGACTGGGGTGCCAGACAGGACACTGACTTTTAGACTGCAAGGAGAGGGGGCCAGCTGGGCAGGGAGCTTAAGAAGGAAAGGGGGCGACTGCTATGGTGGAACCCTTGGCAAGCGGCGTGGGAATGGCTCTGTGGCCCCCCAAGAGAAAAGCCACAACCTTATCGAAGTAGCAGCAGATGCCCCCACAAAAAAGACTGGGGGTTATTTTGCAGCCCCAGCCCAACCCGATCCTGATGACCAGTTCATTATACCTCCAGAGCTGGAGGAAGAGGTGAAGGAGATCATGAAACAGCACCAAGAGCAGCAGCAGAGGCAGTATCAAGTGGACCAAATGCCAGACTACTACGATACACCTCTGTGAGGCCAGCGGATACCTGGTGAAGACCACCTTTGGGGGCCATTGGGCAGGATAGATAAGAACAACAGAATATTTTTGTCCTTTTTAGATTCTAACACCTGCCCCCAAGCGTAAAATATACACTGCATTATTTTTGGACATCAACACTAGTTTCCTTGAGTTAATGCTTCACAAAATAAATAAGGTTAATATAATTTTATTTTTTTTCTTATCATATCATTTTATGTAATAAGAATACGCTGAAAGGCACTTTTAAAAAATACGGAACCTTTTGTTTGTTTTAAAAATAAAAATGTTAAATAGTTAATACCACGTTTAACTGTTAGTTAGTGCTGTTAATATTGTTAGTGCTGTTAATATTATTTTCAGAAATCATGGCTTTTGGCTTATAAAAAGTCATAGAAATTTATAGAAATATAAAGACTAACTCCTAGGAGTTGCTTACTCTTTACCGTGACTTAGTCACTGAATTTTACTAATCTTCTCTGAGAGAAAAGGTGATTTTTTCCAATTATTGTAAATAGGATTAATGTTGCATCTAAGGAAAATGAGATATTTGGAACACAGTTCAAGTACTGTGTCTGGAGACAGAATTGCGGAGTGCTGGCTACCAAACAGCATGGTAAAGATCCAGGACTGACGTTCAGCCAGGCTGTTTGTTCCCTGTCCCTATCCTTCCCACACTAACATGCACTTGATGTCTTGTCTCCCTTAGTTCCGCCACACCAGCATGACTGTATACAGTTCACTAATGCGAAAACGTTACCTACAAGTTGTATTGAAGCAAAACACACAAAAAGTTCCATTTTTGTTATAATAAATCTAAAATTTACAAATAATACATTTGTGTCTTTTATTTTCTTCCTCAGTCACACTTTGGACAGTGTGGCCACAGAGTTAACACCCGGAACCTTTATCTCCTTAAACTATTGGATACAGTTTATGGAGGATGAGGACTTGTCAGTCATACCCAATTACTTAATAATGTGTGCTTTGAATAGCTCAAATCAAGAAAATGTTGCCAGAGAAGGAATCCTTCATTAGTGCTAAAACAGCCCTGTTAATTTCTGCTGCCACTGAACTTTATACTTCGCTGCCACACAGAGTTGCATTGCTGGCATTGCACCTTGGCAAGTAGCCAAGACCTTTTTACAGCCATTAAAAAGTGAATTTCTCTTGCAATTAATGTGATGAAACTGCTCTATTGATATTTTATGTTGTAATTTTTGCTGAGGAAAATTAATGCTGTTAATGAACAAGTGATAGTAGGGGCCAGATTGTAACCTCTTTCTCCATTTCCATTTGTGATTTAGCCATTTCTAATATCGAGTTGTTCTGTACCAGTTTAAAAGTACTGTATTTTTACTAAGCTGCACTTTTTAATCTGCAATGCAATGAACGGTATAAAGAGCATTAAGCCAAATACTGAATTAGAATTGCAAAAGACTCACAAAGGCACCATGAAATGTCATTTTCAACATTTTATTGAACAGTCGTGACACAGGTAAATTCATTATGCAGATTTTGACATTTGTCATCAACAAAGTTGATCAACAGGCTAGTAGGGAGTTTGTCCAGTGTACTGCAAGCCAGCTTTCTATCCGGCTGCCGATTCACTTCTATACCTTTTGTAGAGCCTGGACAAACACGTGTCCATTCTCTGGTCTGGTTGAGATTTCAGTGTTATACATCATCCCAGCTCATCCCACAAGTGGTGCTCATACCTGGAGAGTAGGGCATTTACATCTTAACCCTCACATTCTCAACTCACACAAGAATGCGGTTGTTATAGTAGCACCAGAGGACTTTTGTTACCCTGCTAGCAAATTGTTTTGATAGGAATAGATGTAAGAGAGGTCCCAGGACTACATAAAAGCAGCACCATGCGGTTTCGCTTAGAAAACAGACACTCCAAGACCATCACACCTAGACCACTCCCATTGAATTGGTCTATTATAGACAAAGGTTAGCATACTGGCTCCATATTTGCTATCATCCATCAGAGAGGCTAACGCAAATCTCTTGATTCATAACTGAAGAAGACCAGGTTCCATTGCTGGTGAATCTACCTTAGCTGGCTTTCTCCAGCTTCTAACATACCAAAGACACAAAAGACATGGATCTCCTTGAGTAACAGGTGTATTTTTCCTTTGCTTTTCCTTTTTTGATTTTTACCTGGCTGGACATTCTACAAAATTGCCATTGTATCTACCCAATCATCTCCTTAATGAGGCGATTTAGAGTTTATGCAACATCTAAAGGCACTCAAGTGCAGCAGAGTCTGTCATTAATCAAAATGATGCAATATGTTTTTTTTTGTTTTGTTTTAATGTGAGATGTAGTGTGTCAGTGTGCATAAAATTAGTAAATATTTGCTAAAGTTTTGGAAATAAAATCAGTGGAGGAAGCTCTATCCATGTTAAAGAAAATGAAAATCAGCAGACAAAATAAGTCATCACCAACTCATGAAATGCAAGGCTTGTGAGGGATTTCTGATTAATTCTGATTAATGTTATAGACAGATTAAAATATCTAATTTCAGCACAAATTTCATAACGTTTTAATTACAAAATCAAATTCCTGCTGATGCACCTGCCGCATCAGTGCCTCATGGCGAGAAAAATGGAGTTTGATTCACAGTGAGAACTGTGGATTTCAGTGTTGTACAAGTACGCTGATCTTCTCAGCTTTACCAGTTTTCCCAATGATTCTTGAAAACCATGCAGAATACCATCCTGCATTGCTTGGTGACTATCCCATCAGAATTCAGCAGACTGCCACACCAGTAAGTTTACCTTGACTGCAATAGTTTCATACAAGTGGTTTTTCAAGCTGGCCAAAATTAAGCAATAACAGGATAAGCTTACCTTACATTTTGGACATATAGGTCAAGCTTTTTTACTGACCTTGTTTTAAAGTTTATACAGCATATTTAATTTATATATGTTATGTATTTTAACAATTAACTGGTCTTGAATACAGCCATGGCTGCATGCAACTGTGGGGCAGAGGTTTGCATGCAAGAAATTATATTTCTTTGTTGCATTTTCATTGATATCAGAACTACTTTAAGAATTAAAGATTTGAATAGCAACACTATAGTCAAGTACAACGAAGTAGTTCTGGTAGTGCAAGTTACTAAATAGAATTGAGAAATTTTAAATTGTTTATTAAATCATGACTGAGAAAATCAAAGTGCACATTTTTAATTTATTAAGGATAAGAATCAATACATTCTTATTAAAATATGAAAAGATTAAAGTTGTAGTCTATAAATTTTAAAATTAGAAAATGGAACTTTAATTATCAGTGGGTTATTTAAAATCTTTACACAGGATTTCAAAATGGAATGGTATCATTATGGAATATTACTGTATATTGGATATTCTGTTTGCCTTTACAGTCATCAAGACCTTTTTCTGAAATATGAAAATGTGGATGTGACATTTTAGCTTCCCCAGAGTGTGGAAAATTGCATTATATTATCAAAAGCTTATGTGGATATGTACATATCCATATCCAACTTATGTTAAAAGTGCTGTACTTTTGTAGAAAATATGTTATAATGGAGAGATTTGGGTACGGACAGGGAGCTTAATGTGATCTTGCTACACTGTATTGAATAGCCAGGATAACATGTTACTCTGTTTTAAACACAGACTTGCAAACAAAGTTGCATTAATGCAAGAATGCTTACAAGAAGCAAAAACAATAACTTTGCCATAGTTTTGTCAGAGGATAAACATAACAAGTGCACTTCACATACCCATCTAGTAGTAGTTTTAATATGTATTATGTCAAAACAGTTGCCATTAGTATCCATCCTTCAATTTCTAACCATTTCTATTAAAAGTACCATAACCAAGAAATTATGAAAGGTATAATAAGAGTGATATGAACAGAAAAACAAAAATGTCCTTTTTATCATTTCAAATACAATAGTTAAATTTCCAAGACTATTTACAACAGGTAAAAAAATAATTGTATTTTCTACACCCACGATATGTTATTTGTTTGGTACACAGATATTTAGAAAATCCATTAGTTCTCAATTTCTTATATAGAGAGATCTCTTATGAGGTTATTGCAACACATTTTAACTGCTGTATGGAGTTTTATCAGTTTGATTCCATCTGGCCTAATAATTGTAAGTACCCATACACACAGAAATCCTACACGTCTTCAAACAATTCTGGACAATTCTAGGAATTCTACAGTTTAAGATGAAAAGACTTCTCCAATAACAGAAGAAAAATCATAATTTAGGGACTTTCCATGATCAATGAGGTATGATAATAGGACAGTGCAAATGACAAATTGCTTTAGTTAAAAAGTCTTTAAAATGCTAAATACAAGTGACTATAAATCTTACAAGTTTTGTTAAGTTCCACTATTGCATGCTTTTTGTGTAAAAACAGTTCACAGAAGCTAGGCATCTTCGAAGAGAACATACATTAAAGAAATTAGATTTACCTGGCCTACACAGCTGTGTTGCCAGAATGTACGGCTTCTGGATAGTTATCACTGCTCAGTGTGTGGGGTCTACTGGTGCGTCTGTCCTGATGATAACGCTTAAGAAACTGGATGGCCTTGGCGCAGAAGAAGCAACCCACTGCATACAGGATAACTGTGATCAGACTGAAGAGGGCCACAGCAGCATCTGCTCCCTGCACATCACAGTTCATCCAGGTGTAGCCTTGGCGGGCGTACAGCCTCTCTCTCTTCTTGCACACGTCTGTGGCGTTGACTTGGATGACAAAGTGGAGATAGAGCCCGACAGCCACCACGTAGGCCACTGCGCCTATCAGCTGGAAGAAGAACTGTGCTACCAGGAGCTTCATAGGGGTGCGATGAAGTGGTTTGGTCCCGGATACCACAAAAAGCAGAGAGATTGCAGCATTGGTTAGGCTGAAGGCCACCCCACCGTAGATGCCTGGAGCCCGCAACTGGCTGTATTGCATATCCAAGTCACGAACCTGCTGCAGCTCCGTACCCTCAAAGGGGCTGTAGGCAGAGTTGATGCTGAAGCTGCCCCCAGCCAGGCCCCCCATCGATGACATCCCGGACATCACAGCCTGCGAGGCAGCCACACAGATCAGCACCAAGATGTTGGTCAGGACTGCGCACAGCATCATGATGCCTACAGGAAATATAACAAAGTGCTGTCTTCCGCAACGTAACGATAAAACCAGGTACTGTCCTTAAATACATGCTGCTGATCTACTATGTTTCATGCAAGATTCCAGTGAAAGAGGCTTAAGAACTAGGATGTGTATTACATTTGACTAAAGGTTTAGGTTAACTCTGCTGATAATCAGACATGTAATAAACCAATCGAGGGTTTTGTGCAAGGCCCTTCAAGCATTTTAACAAATTTTGGGATCTTTGTGTTAAAAACGTAATCTACAAGTACTGGATCATCATTAATGTAGCTACAATACAATACACAATGTAAAAAACAGTACGGTATATACTGTGGAGGAACAAGTAATAGGTTTATTCCATGCTGAAAAGAGAAGAGAGAAAAGACAACTTTTCGGCTGTGAAGCCTTCAGGTGTGAGCATATACTGTACATATCAATGTAACTGTGTGTTCTATGAACTTGTACTCAGAGTGGCAAGACATCTTTTGCGAATGACACAGTAATTTGAAGAGATAAAGCTATTATCCACACATCTGTAAATTTCAGAACTTTAGAACTTTTAAAACTAAGGCCAAACCTAGCTCTATCTATGTGACACATTTTTAACTTTTACTCACTGATGATTAGAATTTTGAATACTATATGTGGG